GATTGGAGCGCGATATCTATCAACGCGTAGAATTATACTACTCTTGACTCAAAAAAGGGGAGAGGCAACAGTTTGATCCGCTCTCTTCGCTATATGATAGATTTTTGACCGTTCTAATCGTCCAAATCAAAAAGGTCCAAAACTTATGTGAACTCTCCGATATTTATGCTCCGAACAACCCAGTTTGTTTGGTAGTTGGTCTAGAAACCAACAAATTCGAGAACGGATGTTAGGACACATAAGTTTTGGGGACTTTTTACATAACGAAACGGGACATTCTTCTCATATCCATGCTGCAAAGTCCGACTAAATGTTGCTTGTGTCGAGTCATCTTCAGAAGACTGCGCTCGAGCTCTCTGTGGGTGGTTCGTAAGAATTTGACGTGACTTTTGTCAGCCCAAGTCTCAGCTGCGTAGCAGAGCGCTGGGAGAACGGTCGAGCCGAACAGGTGGGCACAAAGCTCCGAAACCGTCAGTTGGACGGTGGCTTCCTTCAGAGACTCGAAGGCGGCACAGGATGCTCTTTTTCTCCTGTTAAGTTCTTCCCTCAAGTCGTTCTCCATGTTCCTCGAACGTCCGAGATACACACGTAAGAAGACGTCTTCATAATAGGGTTGCCTTCCAATTCCATTTCTGCATCTTCGCAAAGGGCGTTCTCCATGAACTGAGTCTTCTTCCGATTTATTCGCAGTCCGATCTTTTTCCCTACTTCGTTTAGTTCCCTCAGCATCGTCTGTGATTCAGTGATACGAGGACGATGTCATCCGCAAAACGAAGGTTGGATAGGACTCCCATCAACTCGTATGCCTCTCTCTTCCCAGTCCAGTGACTTCATCACCCACTGCAAGGCAACGGAACAGCTTCAGCAAAATAGTGTCGCCTTGTCGAACCTCCTCAATTGGAACAGGCAGGGAGCGATGGAATAGCTGCATTGTTGTTGTACAGTTTTTGTAGCAGTCGGCTAGTGTTTTCACGTAATCTGGGTTCGCTCCTTGATCGACTAGCGCAGACAGGATGGCTTTAGTTTTCAACGCTGCCAAAGGCTTTCTCGTAGTCGACGAAGGTTAGGACGAGAGGCAGTCGGTACTCCCGGCAGACTTCTACGACCCTCGAAACCGTTTGGATGTGGTCCATGCAGCTGAATCCTTTGCGAAATCCAGCTTGTTCTTGTGGGCTGGGCTTCATCCAGTGTCCTAGTTATGCGTGCGAGGATAATCTTCGTGAAAAGCTTTACAGCACACTCAGCAGGCATATTGGATGGTAATTTCGAAGATCCTCCCGTTCACCCTTCTTGAAAAGAAGGAAGGTTCTTGACGTTCTCCATTGGTCGGGAATCCTCTCCTTCTGAAGGTAAGATGTCAGGTGCGACGCGAGAATTTCGTGTAGACGTTGTCCTCCGGCTCGCAGATCGACCGAAAGATGGTCTGATTCTGGAGCCGTGGATGTCTTCATGGTCTGAATCGCCGTGCGCATTTCAGCAGGTAGAATTCGTGGCGGTACTTCTCCAGTGGGAACAACGGGCATCGGCACGGGTATTGATTAGCGGAAAAGGTCGGTGTAAAAATTTTTCTCGATAGATTCTATCTTGTATCGGGAAGAAGCTGGAGTCCCGTCTTCGTTCAATAGTGCAGCCAGCGGTACGTGATATTCACAGAGATCCCTTTGGCATTTCTTGAGACTTCGTCTTCCTTCGGCTGCTTATAGAATCTTGGCTTGCCTGTACTTCCTGAGATCTTCCTGCAAAGCCATTCTGCAACTGGCGTTGGCTATCAGTCGCTCGAAATGGGTCGCATTCGGATCCTGCCTCAGAAATCTTCTTCTTTCGAGCAATTCCTTGGTGGTCTTGGTAGTACGTTCCAAGTTCTTCTCAGAAGTCACTGAGGAGCACTCTCCGCAGGCTCGCAATCCTTTCAGAAGCCGGTCGTAGTCGTACGTTGGATCCTCCTCGATGGGCCAGTCACAACTTGATATGAGTTCTTCCAACCTGTTACCGTCATAGACGACATTCTTCCTTATTGCGGCACTATGGCAGACCTTCTTTTTTTAGCTTCCGACTGAATCGTACCTCGCTCGAAGGAAGCGCTGATCGGAGCCACTGCAGAAGGATGGAACCACTGAGACATCGAACAAGCTCCATCTTCGGTTGGTGAGAATAAAGCCGATCTTTGCTTGAGTCGTTCCGTTGGACGATTCCCATGTGCACCGGCAATGTTCTTTCTCCATGAAGATGAAATTTCCATGGAAAAGTCGTGCGGCGGAGAGAAGCCCAACGAGACCGTTGCCGTTCTCATTCCGGAGCCCATATCCAAACTTCCCGATCCTACATTCCTTTTCTAGTGGCATCCCGATTTTCGCGTTGAAGTCGCAGAAATCGAGTTTTGCCCGTCTGAAGCGTGCTTACACCTCGGTAAGAAAGGCTCGTTTATCAAGATTAGCGACTACGCAATGTTGACTCAAGCGCTCTTCACCTTGTTCGTTGCAAAGGCTATGCAAATTCTAGGACTTTCATCTGAGTCAAACAAGTGCTTCAAAACTTAGTGAAAAAGCAGTGTTTTAGACGTGACTTTCTATGCGTTTTAGAGCCAAAAATGCAGTACGATTTTTCTTTTCAAAAGGCGACTGCTTCCAAGTGTAAAAAATATGTCATATTTTGATGTTGTATAATTACAAAAAATTTCAGATTGAAAAAACGTAGTACTGATTGAAAATCAGAGGTGGCTCTATAGCTATGACCAGCCTTCGGAACCCGTTTTTTCAATTTTTTCAATTTTTCTCCGGCCAAAATCAGTGAAATTGGGAGACTTTCTGGTCAATCATATGACGTTAGTTTTTACACGAGATAATGGTTTTCAGACAATTATGAGCAAGAGAGAGCAAATTACGGTGATTTTTAAGGTGGCTTTATAGCTATGGCCAGCACCGTAGATAGCTGAGCGAAAAAGACTCGGACCAAGATGCTGATGAGACTGATTAGTAACTAGAAGAAAACGAGTGCACCGAAATTACGAGTATGATGCAACGTGAGAAGACACACGAGAGACGTCAAAGCCATAATTAATACCATAATTGAAGCGCAAACCATCACAAAACCAAAGAATTACCTGAAAGTTGCATTAAAGACAAAAGAAGAATCTGGTAGAAAACACCTACATCGGAGATCCATCCACAAACACAGCCGTACAGCACATCGCAAATAAATACAAGTCTAGCCCTGATACAAAAAAGGCTTTAACTTTAGGCAACGCTAGTAAAATGCAGCGATACCTGATAAGTCTTCTTAGTCTACTTCCGAGAATATGGCTACTATCCATACGAGTGGTATCAACAGAAAGACGCAAAAGCCACCTAGCTCACTGCGAAATACGTTATTGCTGAGATAAGAGTAGGTAAAGATTACGAGTTGGAAATTCTGACGGTCATTGACGAAACATTCAAGGAATCGGAAAGGGAACATCACTGTTAGAAAGAAGAATTCTACACTTAACATTGTCCAGAGCGTTTGTCTCTCCTCAGTCCCAGCGATTTCTGTATAGGTCTTAGAAACGGTACGAACATTCGGACAGACTTAGTATTACTATTTCTAGTGCAAATTCAAGGCTTTAGGCAATTCTAAACAAAAAACCAAATTTCAAAAAGTTTCTTCTATTTTTGCAATGTTTGCGTGTTTTCGCAAAGTTTTAAATCATCGCTGATGGTGCGAACAAACTTCTGGAGAAATGTAATCTAATGCACCGAAAATAGTATCTTTCACGCAATCAGTCATCTTCGCTAAAAAAATAACTTTCGACTTGAACTGTTCAAATTTTGGGTACCGACGGGTTCTTCTTCTAATTTACCTCGGTGTAGCTCAAAGAAGGTTTTCTGAGAGTTGTCGATAGATGGAACAAAATCCACAGAAGCTGCAGATAAGCAGCGTGGAAAAATCTACTGCCAGATAAGTAAAAACTGCTGAACATGATAGGTAATTCCTATCCCTCCGCGTACTGTAACACTGCGTAAGGGCTAGCTTGCGCATCAACTACGCTATCAACCACCAGAATGACTATACGAACAGAATTTTCAAATCCAATTCCTGAGTCTAATGTTCACATGAACTTTTAAATTCAAGCTCGCTTAGGTTTTGAGCAAAGACGATTCCAGCTCGAGATCTTGCAGCAGAGTCTCAGGTTGTGATCAAATAATGCAAGCTTCATTCGTTTTGCACAAACTTCACTCTATTTTTCTGAGTACGATTTTTGCGCAACAATCTACTCGGTGCTTGCTTGATAGAGTTCCGTCTAATTTCTTTGTTTAATTACTGAACGTTTCTGCTCATTGGCAACTTTACACTGCTATCAAACTTGAAATTTCATGCAGTTTTGTTTACTAAAAGAGAATGACATTTTACCGGATTTCACCAAATTTCGATGAATCTGTGTTTCATTCTCGAATTTGATGCGGAAACAGTTATTTCTGCTACTTTCTGCATGGATTAGAAATTAAACATATACATTCGATGAAGCAAGGCAAGCGCGCAAACAACTATCTACGTGGAATAACTCGATCAAGCGCATATCTGCATTGAAAGTTCGTACACTCAGGAATTTGAAAAGTTATTTTTAGGCTAGCCCTCTGTTCTCATATAAATAATTCCACACTAGAAACAGTGCAAGCACAGCAACATTTTTGCCTTTCACAAGCGCTATTTTGTAAAATATTTGCAACTAGCAGACAAACTTAAAAAGCTAGTTTTCATATTTTGGACTATCTTTGTTTCTCGCTAACCATAAGAAATAGCGAATGCACAAACGATTGTCTCATTTGGAGGGTATGCTTGTGGGCAAGATAAAATTACGTAGAATTTGATGAACTGATCCAAAATTACTTGAGATCATTTACTTCACTTGAAACTCCAATGAATCAAACTTTTATGCAAAAGCTTATTGGCGATGTTATTTTTTCACACTGCCACAGCATAAAAACAGTGATTATTTTTGCGTTGATCTAATACAATCGACAGGAATGCGTCGTGCGGAAGTAGTGATAATAATGGCTCTTCTCAGTATAGCAGCTTTCTTCGCCTTTTCCTTCTCAGATTACACAACAACCAAACTCCCAGAGGCTAGCTCAAATGTTTTTGCTTGGTGCGCTGTCTTCCAAGAAGTTACTGATAACTTTTAGTCTATCGCGAGAGATGGGGAACTGCATATAAACAAATATTTTCACGAATGGAACCAATGCATGGAAAACAACATATCCGCATACCGCTATGATTCGAAGAGAGTAAGTACGTTGCGATATGGTTCAAAGACCATTTGTTTCCCTTGTAACCGGTTTCTGTAAAGCAGCTTGAATTGAAACTAAATCATCGTCTTTGCTTTTGAAAGTTATTTTCTCTAGATATGGTCGAATCTCTGGAAAGCTGTCAAATTATGCGAGACACTTCCGTTTATGAAGGAATTGAAAATTGATAGTTTTCGGAACTTCGACGAAGCCAAACGCCACATTTCTTGTTTGCGGGTGAGCTTTTTGCCAGTGTAGTATAGGCTGTCCGCATAGGGCGCGGAGTGCTCGAGAGTGCTCATGGTGTGTATTGCGCGTTACTCCTCTTTCCTCGTGCACTCTCGCCGCCTGTTTTTTTCTGCGCTTCTTCCAGTCTGAGCTGCCTTCAATGTACGCAACAACGTTGCTCTCCGTGGACGGCCTATAGCAAACGCCAAATTTCTGAAATGCGCATTTGCAACCTGTCGCGGGCGTCTACCGCCTTGCGATTCTTGCATAACATACATATTGTACGAAACTAACTGATTTGAATAACAGCGAAACTTCCATATTTCCACATTCAAGTCACTAACACCTTTGTATGTTCCATATACGGGCGTACCCGAAGTATTTTCATTTTTTTTTTGCAAGCGCCACATTCCGCGGAAAAAGGACTCACAGAGCAGAGAATACAATACCGGCCGCGTTCGTTGCAGTTTTTCATGCACAAGTGTTCATTTTGGTATTGCAGTGTAATAAACGAGTTCCCGGCAAATTACCAAAAGACATAACCCATGGTCTTTTACATAGTCAAGTTTAGCTATTTTTTTAAAGCTTTATAGTTTTCCCAAAAAGGTTCAATTAAGGGATAAATAAAGCGAACTCTATAGGATACATCCCTCTTTCCATAGCTTACTTTTCAACATTTTTGAAATCATTTGTTATGTCGTTGCATTCCAATGTGGTCTAAATTAACCCTTATTGAGCATCAGCCGGCAAGCAACTCAGATGTTATTCTATGCAACATCTTCTGCTTCATTCGTAAAGCCTTGTGGGATTAGACCAACAATATTCATGTTCTTGAAGGCGCACCGACATAGCTGCAGTAGAAGGCGCAGGGTCTCTTCCTGTGGAGGATTTCGGTTATATCCGACTCAGAAAGTGAAGGGGGTGACTGAGCGCTGATGAATGTTGACGTGAGCTTAGAGTGGGACTGGGGTCAGGGCCCCGCACGAGGTTGTCAAAAGGGGTTTTCGAAAACAAATTCCCCTTTGATCTTCAGATGTAGGTGCTATTGCGAGCCTTTCGATGCGACCTAAGCGCCTGATCTGGAACGGAAAACTCGCAGGACGAGCTCCGATAACATACGAAGGTTTGCGCCATCGAGCTAAATCGTAGACACTTGCAAAATAGGAAACCATTCACCTAAGTGAGACTAGATGTAGGTTTACATAAATTGAGATGCAAATACGCATACGAGTCATGCTGAACAGTTTTTTAAACTTGTGAGCAGTTCGCCTATGACGAAAACGTAAGCGATCAGAGGACAGTCAAAGAAGCAAAACTGCAAAATTTTCGCACACTCAGCGCTCCTCGTATATTTCACTACCTATTCAAAAAAATAGTTTAAACAAACTGTGAACAGAAAAATGTATTGAGATTCTGTGTTTACCTGGGCGTATTCGCTATGCTGACTGAAAATCCACGCTGGCGATAGCAAAAACAGCGGAAAAAGGCTTCAACGAAGGAGGAAAGTCAGCACGTGGGCGGGGTCTTCCCTACTGTGAATTCGCGCTTCCTGCTTTTGAGTCAGTCTTTTCACCGATTTTGAGCCACGCGTTCGCATTTGGTCGGAGGCGATTACCGCAGCTATCGGATTCGAGCAGATCGCTTCTGAAGCTGGAAGCAGGAATTTACAAAGGGGCCCCACCTGCTGGTGTCCCTTCTGCCTTAAATCCTTTCCCCGTTTTTGCGTTCTCCAATGTGGATTTTCAGGCGTAGCGAATAAGTCCGGGTAAGCACAAAATCTCAAAATTACTTTTTCCACGGACATTGCCTTCAAATGTGGCCTTAGGGAGCCTTCAGACCGCGTTGGCTGCCTTTGCGCCGGTACCGCTTTTGCGCCGTAGCGCAGTCATCGTAGAATAGCAAAAATCGGTCACCACATCAAGCAAAACACATGTGTAACGAAATTCTTCAGTGTGAGTTGAAAGAAACTTTAGAACGACAGAATAGCATAAAGGAATCAAAAAATCGTGTAGGTCTTACGTTCTCCACGGGTAAAAGTGACCGAGCGCGCTTCGGCGCAAAAGCGACAAGGGCGCAAAGGCGGCAATCGGCGGATCTGAAGGCTTTCTTAGGTCCGGCATGCCTCACGCGATTTAAGTCGCGAGGGACGTGGCAATACTCTGTTTGCCGTCACTTATGTTGCAAGCATTCTAGATGTGCGCGACGGAACCGCGAACACGGCGAACACGGAAGTGGAGTATGCGCAAGGCCCTAGGTCCCATACCTCACACGACTGTCACCATGCGATCTGGAAATTTGTCAGATGCCTTCATCCAACAACTGTCATACCGCGAATGCGTAGTGTAAAAGTTTAGGTGAAAGAAATAAAGTTATCCTCTACACTGAAACGCGTACACGATGAGTTATGGACAATTGGTATTGCCAAATCTCGAGACTAAAATCGCGTAAGGTATGGCTAAGGCTACGCAAAGGCTGGTATCATACTGATTCCCATGTCTCGGAACTGCTCCCGCACGTTTTTCGCACTGTGCTGGAAATGTTCCGGAACTGTGCTGCATGCGCTGCGCCCGCTCCGCAAGCGATTTGAACGGCGTGTTGTAGTTCTTCATAATTTTCCATACTTTGTTTCCACTAGCCTCTCTTCGTTCGCTTACCAAATTCGGTGTTATATCGTTACGCATACATTGAGAACTAGTCATGTATGCTGTTACAAATAGCATCGTGTGAGCGACGTCGCGCGTGCGGCCATTAGCGACGGCGCGGCTTGACGCGCGCGAACTCCAATCTTCGCCTGTTGAGGCACATAACATGTTAAGATCATAGGTGCGATAGGGGGAGCCGGGCTCTCCCCAGGTGAAGGGGGTCTCGGCTGTTCCCGACCTTCCAGGGTGAAGGGGGTATGTGAGTCTAGGGGGGGGGGGAGGAAGAGAGAAAAGGTAAAAAAGCGTGGTGTGAAGAGCTCTAATTTGTACCTTATTTAGGCACAAATTGAAAAAAATCTAAAAATTTTCAAAAGAAATTAAAAAATTTTAAAAAAAATTGATTATCCCAAAAGATGTACAAGTTAGGAACAACTTCATTTCCTGCACATCATCATCAACAATATCACTATCGCTAACGTCAGAGACAACAAATTCGCTGCCTGAAAAATCTTCTTCTTCCTCCAAAAGGTCATCGGAGTAGAAGTAGAATTGCGTGCAAAAGCGTTCTGAGTCGAAAATGGATTTGAAAATTTCTTCTTCTTCTAAGCGCTTTTGTGATTTTTTCCTGGCCCTCTGGTAGCACCAGGAAGTCAGCAGGTAGGTGACAAGTTTCTTCATACCATCTTTTAGGATATTTCAAAAAGTCATACGGTAACAGCCTGTCTGGAACGCTTATACCAATCCTTTGAATGAAGTTTTTAGATAACAATGTGTTTAGTAGAAGGTTGACAAATCTTAAGTATTTGCTTGAAGGCTCTATCGTTGTACGACTTCTGCGTTGTGTTCTGATAACAGAGTAGATAGAAAATTTCTTTCTCCACCTCTGCCGTGCTAGTTGGAATGGAAACTAGCTTTGCTAGTAGGTCCATCAGATTTTTGCGGTAAGTAATGGGAAAAGAGCCAGATCTCATATGCTTTCGCAACACGGGAAGGAAATAGTGCATACTTTTGGGCCTTGTCGAACTCTGGCTTCACCTCCTCTGGCATACGTCCTGTTAGCTGATTAGAAAGCTGCTCAACTTCTTCTTTAACAGCATCTGCGGAATAGCCGAAAAAAGGAGGCACTATGCTGCGCGTTGGTTTTTTTTTTCAATATCATAGGTCATATTGTCACAAGGCGAATAACTTTCAAAAGCATAAAGCACAGAGTTGGGTTCGCACTCCAGCCGGGATCTAAGTGCAGTAACTATGCTTTGTACTAACACCTTCCTTTTGTTCATATCCATGTTTGTGAATTTAGCAGCCTTGAATTCTTCAGCAACTTGAAGATCAGCAATGGACTTCCTGGACATTTCCTCATTGAAACTAGACAATCTGCTTGGATTCCTTATGCAGGAAATCAGAAAGTTTCGCTCAATTGCCAACTCTGTATCAATGTCGACAACATTTTCGTCGGCGTAAGATTCGCCTTTTGCCTCGCTGTTGAACTGGAACACATGCGAGTCATCTGCGATTTTGTAAAGTATTCTGCCTGCCGTTTCCTCTTCAAACTGCCAACCTTTCCAAAACATTGAGGGATGTTTTAATAACATGTTATTCTTCTGTCTTAAAGTTTTTGATTCATTGAAACCAACCATTCTCTACAAATTAGGTAAGGTGAGTCTAGAGCGTTTTCACGAAAGTGACCTTCTTCAGCACTAGGTTTACGGAGTAAAGATTCCAGAAATCGGCGGGTATTTGTGTGAAGGTGTGGAAATTCACCAATCTCCCATAGTTTTTTGAGTGTATGCTAATAATGATGGCATAACTGTCAATCAAAAGCGCATTTTTTACCAAATAAACTTGAACATATAACAACGATAAGCGCGCTTAAATAGACGCGTTCGCTCAAGTTCCCGTTAGTGCTGATAACGATGTCAATCCACAGCACATTTTTTACTATTTACTTGCTCCACCCCGCTCTTATTAGGTCGTCCAGAAAGTTTTTGCACATGAATTTCAAAATTCATAACTTCTAATTTTTCCAAACGATTTGACTGCTTTCACTTTTATGTGAAAGGGTAAGTCATGCTCTTTATAATGACATCTCAGCTGCTTAGTAATGGTCATCTGTTGCATAGATAGGAGCGATAGAAGAAAAATGGTAAAAATTTCAATTTTCTGTATAGGGTCATAAAAAATCGGAGACTTGCAAGAAAAATCGGAGCAGTCAGTACTGTAGGTTCTTTCACCAGCTCTTTCTAATAGTGCAAAGTTTGCGCCGATTGAGTGTCTCCATGAAAAGTTATGATTTCCCTGAAAAATGCCAAAATAAATCAAATTCGCCTTTTTGTACTGCTTGCTCGGAAATTATAACTTTTCATGGAGACGCTCAATCGAAGCAAACTT